AATATTTTTCCAAAGGACCTATAAACGTGGATTTTTTAAAGAATATTTTCCAAAGGACCTATAAACGTGGATTTTTTAAAGAATATTTTTCCAAAGGACCTATAAACGTGGATTTTTTAAAGAATATTTTTCCAAAGGACCTATAAACGTGGATTTTTTAAAGAATATTTTTCCAAAGGACCTATAAACGTGGATTTTTTAAAGAATATTTTTCCAAAGGACCTATAAATGTGGATTTTTTAAAGAATATTTTTCCAAAGGACCTATAAACGTGGATTTTTTAAAGAATATTTTTCCAAAGGACCTATAAACGTGGATTTTTTAAAGAATATTAGTAGTGTGCTTATGGGGATGTTGGGAATTCACCACGATTTATCACGGCAAATTCTATTGGGGATGTTGATTTGGGTAAATTCACCACGGTGAATTTTAATGGGGATGTTGTCTTGGGAATTGTACCACGGCAAATTCTATTGGGGATGTTGATTAGGGTAAATTGTCCACGGTGAAATATATTGGGGATGTTGTCTTTTGCATTGTACCACGTCAAATTTTATTGGGGCTGTTGGCGTTGGTGTTGCTAGTTTTAATATGAACTACTAGATGGCGCTAAGTTTAGCGCAGACACAATCCAAAACTGTGTATGGGATGGTGAAATTTCAAGTTTTAATATTCACCACTAGCAGAGACACCCTCCGAAAAAAAAAAAAAAAAAATGTATTATGATCATATCGAGTGGGGCTAAAGAGATTCACCATGTGAGAAGTGAATATAGCAGAAACACATCTGAAAGAGGTAAGTATCGAAGAAAATCATTTTATGTAGATGGCTCTCAGAATGCTTTTATATAGTCAACATGCTGATTACTGCAGTCAAATGTGCTTATTAATTTATTTGAAAACATATATTTCAAGAAATCGACTTCAATAAATGTGATATATTATAGAAGAGTTTCAATTGATAAATATGCTGCAATTATTGATATTTCAGGGGTTTTAATTTCAGCATAGATGAAAGTATAAATGAAAATATAGACAAAGAAATGACATCGAAAAATTCCGGAATAATCAAGTGAAATTCTTGAAAAAAGATAACGAAGTCGAAAGACAAAACTAACTTTTCGTTGTACTTGTTTTAATTTGTCTATAATTTTAGCGACTCAAAAATGTTCAGTTATTCCCATCGAAACGATATAGGCGACATCTAACGGTGAGTTCCATCCATACTATCCATAAATTATGTTGTAGCATAGACACACTCCAAAACTATTGAAATATGATCATATCGAATGGGGCTAGAGAGATCCACCATATGAGAAGTGAATATAGCAGAGACAAATTTGGTTAGTATCATATTCAACAAGAAGATGTGTGTTCTATTATTTTGTCCAGATGGCTCTCCACTCATTTCCCTCGAAACGATATAGGCGACATCTAACCACCAATTAATGTTGTAGCATATACACACTAAAAAAATGCTGCTGTAGCCAATCAAAGCAAATTCTTCTTGTGTGGACAGGCATTTTGATACATTATATCGATCGCTTTTTGATAGTTTTGTCGATGAAGAATTTGTTTACATTATGTAGCAATTTGAGAGAATTGAAACTGAAAGAGTTTCATGACAAACCCTGCATCAATTCGGTATTGAAGATTGAAGGGATTTGAAGAAGGAAACACCATTGTTTACATTAACTAACAATTGGATTTCTGTGAAATGGATATGAGAATTTGGGGGGAAGCGTTGTTGCAGAGTTTCATGACAAATTCTGCTTCAACGATAGATTGGAGCATGAATGAGAACATGCTTAACTATGCTCAAAATTAAAAACTCTAGTAACTCTGTAATATTGTGAAATTCGCGTTAAATATTCGTATATATAGAAGACAATTTCAAGTAAGGCTCACAGTATAAAATTAAACATTGAACGTGATATTATGGCGAACGCAGATTTAATAAACTTATTCAATTCTTTCAGTTATAAAAAAATAATAACTTTGAAAGAAATGGAGGATAACAAAGAATACAACATCCATGGCGCCTTTAGAACAAATACAAAATATGGGGAAAGAATTGTGCTGAAAATTAATGATGCTATCCTCTATTTACCGTCAAGATTCCTCTCGCTGGCGGATGAATACATAAAAGAAATAGCTGGTGGGGGTTATTCTGTGACGAAAACTGTGTTGAAAGATGGAAGCGGAAAGAGTCTTTACAAACTAGAATTAAAACATTTGGATCAACCAGATTATTTTTATCAACCATATTTAACATAAACTGAAAAGTAAATAAATATTTTGTTTGAAACTAAAAATTGCAAGCTGTTTTCATTTTAATGTGTGCAGAGAAATATTTCAGTTTATTAGTGAAGCTTTAGAAAGGAAGATGTCTCTTCTTAATAAGGAAGACGAACGCTTAAAAACCTTTGCTCGCTGGCCTTTAAATTATCCAGATCCCAAGACAATGGCTGCAGTAGGACTTTATTATACTGGAGTAGGAGATATTACCAGATGTTATTTTTGTAAAGTAAACATTCATAGTTGGGATCAAACTGATTGTCCTGTTACTGAGCATTCAAGGTTGACATATCGTTGCCCATTACTGGAAGGGCGTGAAACAACTAATGTCCCAACTATTTCAAAAAATTGGAATTGTACACCTTCTGAAATTGGTGTAGATGTTTGTGGTCGTGGAGCGAGTAAATGTTCACCCATTTTCTTATTATTGTTCACTTTCATTACCTTTAATGCTTTAAATAAAGTTTTATGCAAATAATACAGTTGCTTGTTTTTATTTATTAACTTTATTAATTTCATCGTCTAGTATGTAGCCAAGTTCTTTCCAGTTTTGTTCAATGAATACAAATATCTTAAATATATTATTTACGGCACACTTAAATCTAGTGTCCAAATGTATAGGACAGTTTGTAAAATAATTTTGGCAAGCTCGAAGTTTCATATTATTTTCTAAATTTATAATGGTAGAATGAATATATTTCTGTAAAAAGATTTTCTTTTCTTGTCCAACAACAAAAATATATTGATAATTGTTCAATGGTGTAAGAGCTTTCTCGACATCATTATAATTTTTTTCTCCATCTGTCCAATTTAAGCCATTCACATGTGTCTTGGTGTAGGCATTTGTTCTGCATGCTTCCCCAGTAAGTTCTTTTATATTAAAAGGTGGACGAAACAAAAAATAATGTGGAACAACAGAAGCACCACACATATATGATAGTTCCTTCACGAAAATACTCTTGTGGTTTCCATGGCAATATTGAAAATCAACCAGTGCAATATCCGATCTATTGATTTCAATCATCTTCTTAGGAAAGTTGAATTTGAATGGAGGGGATATCATCGATGTTGGAGTATTTATAAAATTTTGTTCATGTCCAATAAAAACTTTAAACAAAGATGTCCACAATTGTATGTATGAAATCGTTGATCTCTTTTATAATTGTATGTAATAGCTGGTCCCAAATAGCGTAAAACTTCTATCGGGGGTTGAAGATTACCAAAACTGTCGTAATAGTCGATATTATTATTGATTTTATTATATGCCACCCAATGCGTGCCAGGTCCACTGCTAACATCCAAATTTATGATACCACATTCAATTCGATGTGGTTTCTTAGGTAGATTATCACGCATATAAACACCTCTAAAGTGAGGTATATATTTTTTCCCAAAAAAACTAATATTTACATCGGTTAGGGGACCTTTGGGTAGCTGCTTAATTAGTTTTTTGGAGTTTTATTTTCATCAACATAAATTCCATAGCCCTTTTTATATGGTTTGAGATAGAGACCTTTACCCATAGCTATAGCTTCTATTGTTTTGTTATGTCTGGTTTGTTCATCCAACTCTTGTTTGGCTTTTTTTGCATTTAAAACGGCATTGGTAATTGCTGAACTACCCGATGCTAAAGCTCCCAATGCTCCTAATCCAGTTAGAATGGGAATGAGAGGAAGAAATCCACCTCTTTTGGGGACGCTTATTACTCGCGGTATAGCGACCTTTGATTTTTTTCCTCGAAACGTCTTTTGTATTTCATGTCTGGCTATTTTTATGGCTTCATCAATATCAGTTGGTTTTTTGCTTTTAAGGGAACTCGTAGCTTTTTTTAAAGCGTTTTTAAAAAGTTGTTGACCCAATATTTGTTTGGGGTTTTTATTACCCATCCCTAGCTTTGTCTTAGCCTTCATTATGTTAGTTACAAGATATGCGCTAATTTTTTCTCCAATGTTACTATTTTTCGATTTTACTCGCTCCCAAGCCCGTTCAGTTAGTTCACGATCAGCAATGTGACGTTGTTCAATATCTTTATTTTGTGAATAGGCAATATCGTGTGCTCTACACGCTGCATCTAATGGATTAATACCTTGATCTCCTCTTTGAATACGTTTTTCTAGCTTTGTTCCAGGTCCACAAAATTGATATCCTGGTAAATGAAGTTCAACGGGTAAAGAGTTAATCAACTTATTTACCAGTCCTCCTCCTTGAACGTGTTTCTTTCTAATAAATCGCTTCGTGTTGTAAACAATCATTTTATACTTTTTAGCGGGACGCTAAACGAAAGAAATATCGATATTTGATTATATTATAAATATGAATGTTTTCTTAAAACTACTCATTAGTTTAAATCATGAGATTACTGGAACAACAAGCTAAAATAATTGTTCAAAATGTGGATTTTATGCAAAGAAAGACCCCTCGACATAGTACTTTGCTGCCTGATTCTATACGAGCCTTAATAGTAGGACCATCAAATTGTGGAAAGACTAATGTGATGCTTAGTTTGATAGAAAGCCCTAATGGATTAAAATTCGAAAATGTTTACATTTACTCAAAATCGCTGTATCAGACAAAATATGAGTACCTAAAGAAACTGATATCCACTATAAAGGGGATGAGATTGTATACATTTAATAACAATGACGATGTTATACAAACGGACGAAATAAAGCCAAACTCAATCATGATTTTTGATGATGTTGCATGCGATAAACAAAACAACATTAAAAATTACTTCAGTATGGGGCGACATAAGAATGTTGATTCGTTTTATTTGTGTCAAACATACACACGTATACCAAAACATTTATTGCGTGATAATGCGAATTTGATAATCATGTTTAAACAAGATGATCTGAATTTAAGACATATATTTAATGATCACGTTGGATGTGACATTAGTTTTGAAGATTTCAAAAAAATTTGTCATGAATGCTGGAAGGAAAAGTATGGATTTCTAACGATTTCCAAGGATGACGAAATTCACTCTGGAAGATACAGAAAAGGCTTTCATATATTTATTCAACCTTAATATTATTTAATGTATTTGCAAATGTTAATTTATATTAGTGCACCTACAGCCATGGAGGAGGAAATGCTGAAACGGCTTGTTAAGTCCAGAAATGTCTTGAAAAAGAAATTTCAAAGCATTAAAATGGGCGAAGAAGCTAAAACTACAGAATTGAAAAATACTTTCAAACCGATAACGGAGCCAATAAACAAACTACTAAAGCTTTCAACTGAAAATACTTCCAAAATGATTATGCCTAAGAAAGAGAAAATGGAAATGTACAGAGATTCTATTATTACAAGTACACCCCTTAAGAATTATAAACCAGATGTTAAGTTAGATTCCAATGCATTGGAGGGGTTAAAGCATAGAGTAGATTACACACAAAATTTCGATTCCTTTAATACAACACAAGACGACGACAAATTTTATTCCAACAATGAGGAACCTATGAATCTATCATTCTTGAAGAAAATTAAAAAACTAGATGTAGTCTATGGTCCACACAAAGATAACAATGGAGAATGGAGATTTGGGGACCAACCACTCAAAATAAGCAATGAAAAGATTATGATTGGAAATAAAAATTGGGCATTAACACCCGGTTTGTTTGAACTGTTGTTTTATCAAGACCCCAAGAACTATGATCATACAGAACTCGATATTTACAAAACAATATTATTAGACACAAATGCGCATAAAATAAACTATGAATCTAATGGACGAATAAAGTCCAACAGGGGACAAAAATATAAGAAAATAATAAAAAATATAATAGAGGATACTCACAGCGGCAAAGGCTTACTGACAATAAATCCTGGTAAACCCAACTATATATACTGGGACGATCCCAACGAATTGATAGAACGATTAAAGCTGTTGTTGGCATCACAACAAGCCGGAAACAATAACCATACTAATGAAATTGTTTCTATTATCGAGGAACTGCGAGAAGGAAATATAATATATTAAATAATACTCTCAAGGAGCATACAACATATGACTGTTGACAAGTTTGGACATCATTACAATCAAAAAAATCAATCAATAGCAGTGAGAGAAAATGTTTCGAGATTATTGGGAGTCAATATTGATGAAGATAACAACCTTAACGTGCAAAATAAAAAGATTAGGAATGTTTCATCTCCAGCAGAAGGAGCGGATGCGGTCAACCAAGCATACGTACATACGCAAATCAAGCACATTCAAGAAATTTTAAAGAAAAATTTCATTCAAGAGTGCACCTTCCTAAGAGAAGAAATATCACAACTCAAACGTTCACAAAACGAAATATTTAAAGCCTTATCGCAAGCTCCATTCAACTCACCAGCTTTAATATATCATACCGAATAAAACAATGGAAAAGCGGGGTTTGGTAAATGAACTTCATCATCAAGCACGAAAAAACTTTCCAAGACGAAGGGTTATTACAAAGGGTATTGATGATCTCTGGCAAGCAGATTTAGTTGAAATGGGCAGTTACTCAAAAGCAAACAAGGGGTTCCGATTTTTGTTAACTGTCATCGATACATTTTCGAAATTCGCATGGTGTGAAGCCCTTAAAACAAAAACGGCAACGGATGTTTCTATGGCTTTTGAAAAAATCTTACAAAGAGGAAGAATTCCAAAAAATTTGCAAACCGATGATGGAAAAGAATTTTTCAACACAGATTTTAAAAAACTAATGCAGAAATATTCCATAAACCACTACTCCACATATAGTGTATTGAAGGCCTCAATTGTTGAGCGTTTTAATAGAACTTTGAAGTCGCTAATGTGGAAGGAGTTCAGTTATAATGGGAATTATCTATGGATTGATGTTTATAGAGAATTGGTTAAACAATACAATAAAACACCTCATCGAACAATAAAAATGGCCCCTATTCAAGTAAATTCATCGAATGAGAAGGCATTGTTGCAATCTGCTTATAACCACTTAAAAATTTTTAGGAGACAAAACTTTCGTGTGGGTGATCATGTACGCATTAGCAAATATAAACATCAATTTGAAAAGGGATACACGCCAAATTGGACTACGGAAATATTCAAGATAAGAACAATAAGAATAACAAACCCCGCTACTTATTTATTAGAAGACTATGAAGGAAATCCCATCCAAGGATGTTTCTACAAAGAAGAACTTTTACCCACAAAATATCCCAACACGTATTTAGTTGAGAAAATTTTAAAAACAAAAGGTAATAAAGTCTTGGTTAAGTGGCTGGGATTCTCAGACAAACATAATACATGGATAGATAAGAATCATATCATATAATCTTAATATGTAGATATACAATATACAAGCATATATTTAAATAAATAAAAACCCATATATACGTATGCATATTTTGTGTTTCAATTATTACGACAAAGAATTTTGCAATGTCAAGAACGTTTACTGTGTCCGGTAAATCTCCAATTCTACATTCAACATATTTACCCCCAATTGAATTGGGAAATAGTAGTTATGAGTGTTGCCTAATAGATTTCCAATCATACAATTCAATACCCAATGTGGATAATGATAACAATCTCTTTCACATTGGAGACAATATTATAAAAATACCTATAGGATCCTATGAATTGCAAGATATTGCGAATTACTTGGAAACGGAATATAAAACTATCCACGAGAATAGATCCATTGAAATTAAGGCGAATAATAATACGCTAAAAGTAGAAATCATGTCTTCTCATGATCCTATTTACTTTGATAAAGAAAAATCTATAGGCAAGCTTTTTGGTTTTACCGAAAAAATCTTAGAATCTGGGAAAAAACATACTTCAAACCTTCAAGTCGACATTTTAAAGGTTAATGCCATACAAATACACTGCAATATTGTAACTGGATCATTCATGAATGGGTCGCCAACGCATATTCTACATGAATTTGCTCTTAATGTTCCTCCGGGATATAAATTGGTAGAGAGACCAATGAATCTCATTTATTTACCAGTGAACGTCAAAGAAATCGGTCGTCTGGAGATAAAGATAGTAGATCAAGAAGGTCGCTTTATAAATTTTAGAGAAGAAGAAATCACGCTACGTATTCATATAAGACCAATGCAATCATGATTATCTACAATAAATACAATCATAAACAAATACCAAGACACATTCAACACAAAGTTGTCAAACCGACAAGACCTACAATTTCAAAGGAAAATAAAGAGTTTTTAAAACTTATTAAGCTTAAAGTCAAACCAAATGTCTGAAATACTTAACATTAATGAGCGTCCATTCTCGGATGAGAATATTGTAAAGAGAGACTACCACAGCTATGTTCCATATATTCAATCATTTAAAAATAATGATGAAATTCGGATAAGTATACAAAATCAGGATCTTTACATACTTCCATCGGAGAGTTATCTATTCATTGAAGGAAATTTGAAAAATAGCAAGGGAGAAGTATCGCAAAATGCAAGACTGAGAAATAATTGTGTGGGATACATGTTTGATGAAATTCGCTATGAACTAAATGGTGTTGAAATTGATCGTACTCGTTATCTAGGAATAACTACAGAAATTAAAAATTGGATTTCTCTAAGCGAATCCGAAAGTAAGGTTATGAGCAAAGCGGGATGGAAAGCTGATAATGATTTATCAGTAGGATACTTTAATTTTTGTGTACCCTTAAACCGTGTACTAGGGTTCGCAGAGGACTTTGATAAAGTAATTTGCAACAGCAAGCATGACTTGATTCTTTTGCGTAGTGCCAACGATAAAAATGTGTGTTATTCAACCATGGATACGGAGGAAATTAAACTCACCATAACAAATGTTGTATGGAAAGTACAACACATTCAATTATCAGACTATAGAAAAATCAGCTTCTTGAAAACTATTAAGGATGGAAAAGCGTTGCCTTTAGCATTCCGCAGCTGGGACTGCTACTTTAATCCAACTTTTGCTGGTGGAAGACAACACAGTTGGAGTGTTAAATTGTCTGTCAATCATGAAAGACCACGATATGTTGCTTTGATATTTGAAAAAGACAACAAGCTGGAACATTGCGAACTTAAAAACATCAAAGTTCACTTGAACTCTGAAACCTATCCTTACGATGATTTGAATGTAAAGTTCGAAGAAAATGGCTATGCAGTACTATATGACATGTATACAAAGTTTCAACAATCATATTACATGAGGGAGCCACAACCACTTCTTACATATGCAAGTTTTAAAGACAAGCCCATCGCCGTTATTGACATTAGCAATCAAAACGAAGCTGTTAAGAATGGACCAATCGATTTAAAAATCCAATTTGAAACCAATAAACCAATTCCACAAAACACTTCTACGTACTGTTTAATTATACATGATCGTCTGGTCGAGTACGTTCCATTAACAGGAATTGTACGAAAAGTAGTATAATCTATTTTATACTCACCTTTGCAAGAATATTTCAATAAAACGCAATTTACATAAATTTATAAACAAAAATATTTTGTTTTATTTTATAATAAGAATAGTTAAAGACTAGTTAAAATATAATACACTTATATTTACTTAAAAATTAAACATTTTGTGTTGCGAGAAAATATTAATATGATGACATTTATAGTGAGTAAAGACAATTAAATTAATATTATTACTATGCTCTTTTATCTATATATTGAAACTTAAATCATAATTAAATTTATATTTTAATCCAAGTCCATTGAGACAGATTCATTTGAGTTATTTACATTTGTTTCATGAAGGTTATTTAATCTATAGTGGCCCCAAGCATAGGTGTGAATACCATCCTCTAGAATAAATCGTTTATCATCTTGATGGCTTAGCGATATTTTAGTAATTTTGTCTGTATATATTGTATGCTGTCTTGACCTAAACGAAAACATGGTACCGTAAAAAACCTTTTTGTTATAAAGACATTCTCGATATTTATCTATAGTATACTTTTTTAGGACCGACTTTTTAACTCCCTTAGATTTTTTTACTTCTTCGCTATCAACTACATTGATGGCATACATTTTAGGACGAAGGCCTACAAATTCAACCATTGTTTTTCCGTCATTCTCATCTTTCATCATGCCAAGTTTTTTCTTATTAATTAGAGGAAGTTTATATTTATTTTCTTTTGAAAACCCTGAGGTGTCAAATCTAGCCAATATTTCATCTAAAGATAATTCGGAATACAAATTCCGTCCGTAAAATGTTAATATGAACGAATCTGTATCCATATAATTTAGAATAAAATCCTCACCAAATTTCACTTTTAGAAAATCATACAGAAAATCATACATCACCCACTTTGATAAATCTAATATGCAGAACCCTAAGTACAATGGTCTATCATATTTTACTCTGACATTCCTAATTTGGATAGCAACCATATTTTCGGAGAATATCGAAAGGCTGTGAAAATTTGGCTTCGAGATTAATTTACTAGCAACATTCCTTCTTCTTTGGTTTGCCTCATCTACCCACATTGTCACAATTTTCACAGTTTTTCTTTTGTCGATATTCTCCATTGTCTTACCGAATGAAGAGTTATTCAATAATTTAAAAAAATCTTTTTCAAAGGCATTTTCAGCCTTTTCCCTATGTTCATTATTCTTCAGTATGTAAGGAGCTAACCAAGCGCTTTGTGTGAAAGCCAAAACTCTATGGACTTTCTTAAGAATTAGTCCATGTTTCAGAGATTGCTTAAGTAATTTGTAGTGTATGGTGTATGATGTTTTGTCAGTAAAATCTGCAATCAGTTTTTCAGTTTTTGAGCCCTCAACACACTTTTTCTCCGCCAAAAAAGGTAAATCGTTATGTTTGTCGTGAAGGTGCGGTGGATATTCAATATCAACCTCTAAAATAAAACCAGTAGGAGCGTTGTCAGGAATAGATAATATTACAGTTGGATCATTGAATTTCTCCATTTCATAACCCTCCACCCATCTAAAATCTTTTTCAGGGAGACACTCAGTCATAACTGTACCATATAAATTATTTACATCCAAATAATAGATATTTACCTCTGGTTTGGCACTATTATAATTGGGAGCATCTTCATTATTTGCTACCGAGTGTCTGTTTGAGCACTGGGTAAGCCCTCCCCGAATACCATTTTTGCAGAAATTGTACATGTCTATATCTCTGAGTAGCTCAAGTTCGACTTTAGTACATAGTAGCATTGCATCCCAAGATAGAGATGGTGCTGTGAGATATTGACAAGGGTCCAGTTCGTGAATTCGCATACATAAGCTCCTGAAATTTTCAAATACGTCTGCTAAAAGCAAGACATCAGCTTTTAAATACAAATCCATGTAGTCTTGCATAGTTTGACATCGAAAATGTGACCAAACATTTGTTGCATGCCTATAATCGTCTGACGAGCATTCAGTATCTGTCAACTTATTATAAAATTGGTCTATAGGGGGAAGTTGTTTCTCCTTCAATTTTTCAAATGATGAAATATATTCGTAGGGAAATACTCCTTTCCTAGTCATAAGTTCGAATGCTTCATCATCAGGAAAATGAGATCTGACAGCAACAAAAGAATCTCGAGATAAATTCCTTGCTAATTTATCCAAACTAGTAGGCATAAATCGAAAACTATCTAAGAAACGATGCTCTAATCTATTCATTTTCTTTTTCTTCTCTTTTTTGCCCTCACTTTCCTCTTCTTGCTGGAATTCCTCATCATCTTCCTCACTCGAATCTTCTTCTTCTCCTACAACAACTGTACTTTTTAAAGAACTAGAGTCGGTTGACTCGTTATCCATATTAATGAAATAAGACATTGAAATATATTTTTCTTTGTTTTGAGGTATGACTCTTATTTCACCTCCAAATTCAACTAATTCTTTAAAGAAGAGGTGACAGTCGTACGAAGAAAAATTGTGGAAATATATTGGAATAAATTTAGGTAGATGATATTGCAGATTGCAATGGTTATGTACCGCACCTCGATATTGCCCCGTTAAGTGACAATGATCTTTCACCCTATCGTTACCTAAAATATCGCCACATATACGACAATTGATATCCCTAAGAAAGGCTGTCTCTTCTTCGGGGGTTAGAGTATTCATAGGTTTCGTTTTGGTTAGGTAACTATCATACAAAAATTTACAATCCTGAATTAGTTCTTTCAGAAAAACATTTGCTGCGTCGGGTCCACTATATATAAATAACTTATTTAAATTTTCATTAAAACTACATTTAATAAAATAACTAAAAGCACATGGACTATGCTTCTTTACCTTTTCCGTTTTTTTACTCGCCCCATTGTTCTCATCTTCCTGCACGTCTTCCAGTACACTTTCGGAGTCAGCATAAATAACGAAAGGCACCTTATCCTTTTTCTTGTGATTGACGAACTTTAGTACGGCTTCTTTTTTGTTCGGCAGGGCACAGACTACTTTTCCACACTGCTTTTTGTGAGTCATACATTTATTTTCATCGTGGAAACATTGCAGGCATCCAAAACAAAAGTAACCTTTCTCCTTATGACTTGTGAATTGAGACCGCATAAGACTGAAAAAAAAAAAAGAACAAATACATGATTATTATGATATGGTTTTGATTGATAAGTTTTGTTTATAATTACCAAGACATATCCACAACCAAAATGTAATGGAAATTTTCTTCGTTGTGCAGCAATATTAAATTAATGTGATTGCTTTTCGTCTCCTTTGTTAAGTAATATGGACCAACGACCGACTTGTTTTCATAACCGAAAACATTTACGCTAATCTCTGGGTTGTTCATTTCAAATTTTTTTATATATTTAAGACCCAATGGGAAATTTAATTGTTCGAAATTTAGCGATATTCCAGACTGCAGAATAATGACATCTTGGTGTATGTCTACGTTATATGAAGAGGTTATACTCGGATCTCCATATGCAGTTTCCCCCAATGCAACAACCATACACCACTTAAAACAAAAGTCATCATAGTTTTTGATGTTAAGGCACGCACCCTTCTTGTTGCTTAATGATTTCGGAGTTGGAATATAATGTGAGCCACGTGTTAAGTTGGCTCTCAACACATTTATGTCAAGTTTTAAAAGTTTCTCCAGGGCCCAATTAGAGCCTCTTTCTTGGAACTCTTCTGATTTAGCTATAATTTCCACACAGTGGTTGAAAACGACCTCTTCCAAATCATCTCCCAGGGTTAATAGCGTTGTTTTTGAAATATGATTAAATATATTTTCAATAGTTAACTCTTTGGAAGTTGAAGGTCCATCTTTTTCATTGTTTGGTTTCACATACAGTCCTTGGAGTTCCATATTAAATTTTATGAGCGTTTTACCGTTTAACTCATTTTTCAAGGTTTTAATTATTAATTCTTTTGAAGCATTAAGAAAATCGATCGGGTACAAAATGTCTTTATTGTTTTGTATCTCATAGCTGAGTATATTTTTGTTAAATGCACTTTTAACAGTTTTTATGTCAGAATCCAGATTTTTTCTCACGGTGGATCGATGTTCTTCGCTACGAACGTGTGATCGTATATTATTCACTATTTTATCACAATCACCACAAAACTTTTCCACCTTCACAGCTGATTTATTTTCATGCTGCTGCTTTAGTTTTTCTTGTTGTTGATCACGATTTTGTTTCATTACATGCTCATCTCCATGATGGTTCTCTAAGTGCAATTCTAAATCGTTTACACTTTCACATAAAACATCACAAAACATACAATGCTTTTTCATATGTTTCACAAATTCACTTTTTTCCTTGTAATAAAGGCTGCATGACCAACAAATTTTTTGAGACATTATAAAAACTTTTTTAAAAATATTAAGAAACGATGCTTATTAATCTGTGACTTGTTGAGTACTGAAATTTCTTCCAATCCAATCAATACATTATTGACTACATTTTGTAAACAAATAGAAATTCTGTGATTGAAGCAGAATTTGTCATGAAACTCTGCAACAACGCTTCCCCCCAAATTCTCATATCCATTTCACAGAAATCCAATTGTTAGTTAATGTAAACAATGGTGTTTCCTTCTTCAAATCCCTTCAATCTTCAATACCGAATTGATGCAGGGTTTGTCATGAAACTCTTTCAGTTTCAATTCTCTCAAATTGCTACATAATGTAAACAAATTCTTCATCGACAAAACTATCAAAAAGCGATCGATATAATGTATCAAAATGCCTGTCCACACAAGAAGAATTTGCTTTGATTGGCTACAGCAGCATTTTTTTAGTGTGTATATGCTACAACATTAATTGGTGGTTAGATGTCGCCTATATCGTTTCGAGGGAAATGAGTGGAGAGCCATCTGGACAAAATAATAGAACACACATCTTCTTGTTGAATATGATACTAACCAAATTTGTCTCTGCTATATTCACTTCTCATATGGTGGATCTCTCTAGCCCCATTCGATATGATCATATTTCAATAGTTTTGGAGTGTGTCTATGCTACAACATAATTTATGGATAGTATGGATGGAACTCACCGTTAGATGTCGCCTATATCGTTTCGATGGGAATAACTGAACATTTTTGAGTCGCTAAAATTATAGACAAATTAAAACAAGTACAACGAAAAGTTAGTTTTGTCTTTCGACTTCGTTATCTTTTTTCAAGAATTTCACTTGATTATTCCGGAATTTTTCGATGTCATTTCTTTGTCTATATTTTCATTTATACTTTCATCTATGCTGAAATTAAAACCCCTGAAATATCAATAATTGCAGCATATTTATCAATTGAAACTCTTCTATAATATATCACATTTATTGAAGTCGATTTCTTGAAATATATGTTTTCAAATAAATTAATAAGCACATTTGACTG